AAGGGGGGGGGGGGGGGGGTGACGTAAGCAAACCTTGCGTTCGGTTTTGCGAAACCACAAAACCAGTAGACCGGTCGTGCGAAGGGCCACGGTCATGGAATCGGAGGCTTCCACTTTGACCACGTCACCCACAAACTGGGATGAGTCGGGGATGAGTTTAGGCTCGAAGATGGCTTCCTGCGCGCGGCCATGGCTGTGGCCAAGTTGTCCATTACTCTGCCCGCAAGTAAAGATGCCACCATCTGTGACGATGACCGAGTGCACGCCCGATGCAGCGGCAAGACGCGCACGCTGGCCTCGCAAAGTCTTGAGGATGGCCGGGGTGTGCAACTCGGCGACGTCGCGCATACCGAGTTGGCCAAACTGGTTGGTGCCACAGCTTAAGACGAAGCCATTTGTGGTCACAAACAATGAGTGATCTCGGCCCGCAGCGACGGCCACGAAGCGTACATTCGATGGGGCATCCAAGGGTCGAATTCCTAACGTTGAGTAATCAAGAGCACCAATCTGGAACAGAGCCACGCAAGATGAGGCGCGGTCCGGACTTGACGCAGAGAACTCACCTACAAGTCCATCAGGTAGCAGCAACGTCACCCCAAGTTTTAATAGCCTATGCGACATACCCCGAGACGGCCTCCGCGACCGTGACCGCAGGCATAGACGCGGCCAGTTGTGGTCAGGAAGAGGGTGTGAAATTTAGACGTGGAAAGAGTGGTGATGGCGACGTTGTGGGGAAAGGTGACGAGACGCGGCTTGATGCTCGTATTGTCATTGTGTAGCCCAAGTGCAAAGGTGCTGTTGTCACCCCACCCAAAGATACTGACTGCTTCGTGCTTGTTTGAGCTATTGAGCCCTTGGGCGGCGTTGCTCATGTGTAGCTGCAGGAGTGATGATGGGTGTTAAACAAACCGTGGAGAGGGTCAGGACTAAAGCAGCGAATCAAGGTCCAGCTTGTGAGCTGGTTGGGTGATGAATCCAGGAACTGGTATCTTACCGCCAATTGGTGCCATGAAGACGTGGCGGTTGATGATGTGGCCAAAACATCCTCTGAGAAGGGATCTGACCAATCTGCTGCAAGCCCCGGGTGAGACACGTGCTCCGCGCTGGCATCTCCCTCCTCATCTGAAGCGTCTGACCCTGAAGCCGGTCGGCGCACACGTGACGAATGCATGGGAAGGCCGAACAACACGTCTGTGGTGCGTGGCATCATTTAGCAGGTCCCGTAGCCATGCGATGAGATGAAGCCCGCGCGCGAGGGTAGGTCAAGAGTGAGAGGAGATGTGTGCTTGACACAAAAGAGCAGCAGTGGGAGGAATGATGGTAAAGCAGGACAAGAAGGAGGGGTATGGGTAAGAAAGGGGACGCACTCAGTTCAGCGGTGAGGATGTCGACCGGCGAGAGGCCATCGGCGTCATATGCTTGCAAGCACGGCACGCCGGCGCGCATGAGGCGGACGACAGCATGAATCTATGACATAACAGGCCGTTGCGGTTGGACAATGGTGAGTGGGTGCAGCGCAAGCCATCTCGATGGAGACCATTAGGCCAGCGTCTGAGATTGGAGGTGGTTTCGCCTGACCTGTGCATGGTAGGCCGCCCGGTGGAGGGCGTTCCACGAGTTTTCATGATCTCGGGCATCAAGCTCGATACCCGGAGTGTTGATGAGCAGCTCCAAGCACTGCATGGCGCCGTAGGCGGCAGCCACGTGCAGTAGCGTCAGGCCATGCGCTGCAGACAAGGAACAAGACGACGGTGTCGAGCAAGGACAACGATGAGCAAGTTGGGAAGGGCTGCGAGAAAGCTGTACTGCAGAGGACAGGGGGGTGATCAACTCGAGATACGAACGCTGGCTGCGCGTGTTGACAATGCCCGGTGTTTCGAGGAACTTGGCTAGCTGATCCACATCATCAGCTGCCACCGCACGTTGCGCGTGCGTCAGCTACGTCAAGCAAACTCGAGGCATGAATGCGCGCATGTGTGCCGGTGCTGAACCACTGCAAGTGAACAGACAGAGAGAGACACAGAGAGAGGGAGAGAGGGAGGGAGGGAGAGCAAATAGCGTCCGAGATAGACGGAAACAGCATACCTTGATCAACCGTGCATGGCCCCAAGTGGCCGTCCGACTCTTGCTGCGCACCATGGCCACACGCACGCACGACAGCCCGCGAGGCCTTGCTCTGGAGCCGCTGATACGCACCAATTGAGGCGCGTCTGCTGACCCCCAGCCCCCAGCCCCCCTCCCCACCTCTTACCACCCCTGCAGCTCAACGACCCCTCCCCTGCCGAACCCAGCAGCCCTGTGACGGCACCACCGGCAAGCAGCACCACAAACAGCGCGTCGTGCACCGACAGCCGGCACACGAAATTGAGCCCTCAATACCAGCAGAGACCAGTCAGACTTCTCTGGCTACAGCTGTGCCTGGCTGCACATCTCTGGATTTATAATGATTTTTACTGTACTTTATCACCCCCATCTCCTCCTCTCTCTGAACATCCACCCTGAACACCCCATCTCTCTGCCATAACTCCGCTTCTGCCTCAACGGAAGTCTAATTTTAGTCACACACACACGTCGACGACGCCTTGATGCGATTATGCAACACCACATCTTTTTCTGACATTTGATATATCTGACAGTCTGACAATGACGTTGTGGTGTCATTTCATCTGACATCCTGACCCGATATCATCTGACATCAACGGTGAAGGGTTGTCAAGGGGGTTGATTCTAAAATCAAGTACACCTCTCTTAATCAAAAATTCTCCATTTCGTGTTGTGGGGTTTTTTTTTTGGCGCAAAAAAACAGGAAAAAATGGCGCCGAAGAGCAAGAGCGGCGGCGGCGATGCCAAGAAGAAGAATGGCAAGGCCACCACCGTGCCTGAGGATGAAGGTACGTTCAGTAGCTTCATCGAGGATGGGGAATTTTCAATTCATGGGGGGTGTAAGAATGCTTGACCCGTCCTTGCGTGTGTGTGTGTGTGCTGACACCATCTGCTCTGGGTCTAGGTCAGCGCGAGCTGGTGGTGGTGGGTGAGAATGATGGACCTGTTCAAGGCGCCTTTCAATTGCCTGCAGCCGCCCGTATCTCCTCGGGTATGTTAACAGCGGGCCCTTGTATCCCGCTGAGGTTGATGAAAAGCCTGTGTATTTTGAACAGACTCGTGTTTTTATCAAGCAAGTGTTCTTGGCCCCCGCATGCGCTCCTCCTCACCTCCACCGACCCCCACCCGGCTTGACTATATATTCCTGTATAAACCGTGTCACAGCGCGGCCCGCTTCGGCTGGTTACTTTTTCCGAGGGCAATGCACCGCTCAGGGCCAGCGCGAAGGTCCAGGCAAGGAAAAGTTGACCTCGGGGGCCGTTTACGTGGGTAGCTTTCTCAACGGATTGCGCCACGGTCAAGGAACCCTCGTCATTCGAGAAGGCGTCGTTTACAAGGGTGCCTTTGCCAGCGGCGTCTTCCACGGCCCCGGCACCCTTACTTCACCCACCATTACACTTACTGGGGAATGGCAAGCTGGCCAGATGCAAGGGCCCGGCCAGGCCACTTATGCCGACGGTGGCGCCTATGTGGGCGATTTCTTGGCCAACAAACGCCATGGTCAGGGCCAGCAAACAGAGGCGGATGGTAGTGTCTACACCGGTGCCTGGCTTGATGACTGCCGTGCTGGCCATGGACACCAACGCTGGGCATGGGGCCTCACTTATGAAGGTGAATGGGCCGATGACGAACCCCATGGTGCAGGCGTCATGAGCTTTCCATCAGGCCTCGTCCAACGCG